TGCATGGACGGATTTTGTTCAAATTCGGTACTTACATTAAACATAATAGGACCTTGATGCACGTCATTTTTTTTTTCGGATCAAGTTCGAAATGGCCGACTGGCGGCCATTTTCTTAAAGAATTCAGTTCTGGATCCGTATCCAAGACATGTCTGGATTGATCAAGTTCAAACTTCACACACACATGGTGCATCATGTCACAAATAGATATGTGCATTTGTTTCATGATCCGCTTAACAATAGCTGAATGATGGCCATTTTAAGACCGAAAATGCATTAAAATCACGTATTTTCACAATTCCGGAACCAGATCTCAGTCATGCATGGATGGATTTTGTTCAGATTTAGTACAATGTGTTGTACATATGCAGGTGCATTTCGGTCATGATCTGCTTTGGATGTATATGTCACTCAAATATGAACGGAACGGGGACGTGTCATTGACAATGACTTGTTATAAATAGTTTACTCATACATAAACAAAAAAAATATATGTTTCCTAACACCAGTGGATTTTCGATTTTTGGCCATATATATGGCTACCATTTTGGTCATAACAATATTATTGTTAAAATCCCCCGTTTGATAATGTCCACAACTGGTTCTCGGAGAAGACTGAGTTGATTTCCCTGACACTTGATATGATGACGATTTAATATACACTAGGTTGCACAAGCATGTTTTTTTTTTGTTTTTTTCAAATCCCAAGTGTAGAATTTTAACCTTTACAAATGCTTTGCGGGGAATTTGAAATATTAACTATCCACAAGATAAACAAACTTAAGTTATTTTTAGTAAAATATTACTGTAACAGCAATTTAATACAAAACCAGCCTACAGGGTTGCGTTTTTGTCGTATTTATTATTAATCTATGTATTATTTTTTATTCATTGGAAATATCAATATCACATTATGTACCTGCATGATTGAAGACATTCAGTATTTAAATGACATTGTACTTTTCAAGTTAAATATAAGGCTTGTGGATGAGATGTACATTTCATCTTAAGAAACTTATTTTTAAATATGTCTGTGTACACCTTTTCAAATAATTATTGAAATTTTACCTAAGCACACCCAAATGCCAGAAGCATTATAAAGTGCAACCATGTTTGATTGTCTTGGATAATCATGTTCTTACAGCGGTTAATCAGAGCAGGTTCCAGCATAATTTGTCACCATGGTTAATTCGACTTGAGTTTCAACCATGTTTAAACATGTTTGACATTAAATGATTGTTCCGGCAACCAGAATTATAACTACATGTATGATGTTATGATCATGTTTGTACATGGTTACCTTTATTGTCTGTCTACTAGTGGTGCACCACATATTATTTTATTAGTTCATATTTCATACAGTGTCTTTTTTTGTAATATTTGTATGTGAGATATAATACTTGTTCCTCATTCAAAGACAGTTTTATAATACAAAAATTGAAAGAATTTGATGAAGGCTTATAATCATTTCACTGTGTGAATTCCACAATCTTGTTTATACATTTATAGCCGAAATGACACAGCTTGTCATTAACAAACTGGTTACCGGGATAATAACAAAATCAATGTTGAAATGTTCCTATCATTTCTGTGCATTTCATTTGACTTATTAACCAAGCTGAATTCCATTGTACAGACAACTTTTTTTTTCATAATTCTATTCCAAATTTTATTTTATTCTGGTAGTATTTCTTACAAAAGCTAGGATGGATATTCTTAACTTTAAAGGACAGTAGTCATCGTGCCGCACATGTGCGACATTTGTTTTGATAAACATTGAATTTCCCACAATCCAATGTGCTCTTATATGTTTTTAACCAGGCAAATTATCACTGGTGACTCCTTCAATACCTACCAATCACCAGAAAAGAATTATCTAGTGAAAGCTTGGTAACGTCTCAGTTTGTACTCGTTGGTCTGCGCAACAAAGTTGCCATGTTTGTTTATATGAGATCTTGCAACCACTGCCCTTTATTAACTTAATTGTTCACTTTCTTGTTTGTACATGTATAACCAAAATGACACAAGCTTGTCAATAAGCTGGTTAGAATAAGCAATTAATTTTGAAATGTTCCTTAACATTTCCATGCATTCCATGTAAATGGAATAAATTTAGCTGTTGAAAGCGTTGAGTTGACCCAACAGAGCTGATTTCTATTGTAGAAATTATTCATCTGTCATTTGTTTGACATATTCACTATTTTATAACTTCTTTGTGATTCAAAATTCCTTTCATGCAGGTTATTTTTCTGACAAATACTCTTTAATAACTTTTTATTCACATTTTTATGATCTAACTGCTTTGTCTGCAAAGCCCAGGATGGGGGCAGGGTGATTCAAATTGGTTAAATTTACTTGGCAATATTACAATAATATCACTCTTATTTGGTATTCACAAATAAGGTAAAATTACTGCACATTTGAAGGCATATGCTGACAGTTGTATAATAATTAATTCATAATAATAAGTCATAGAGCTTATAAAATATGTAAGGCTACAAGAATTATTTTAATTATTCTGAAATTTTTATTAAATTTATAATTTTCTTGAACACTGAACTTTTCTTTCATTTTTTTCTGAAAAAAAAAAATCTGTGATGCGCACATTTTCAACTGACTAGCATGATGACCCAGAAACACATTTTTTTTTGCCTCAGCATAATAATGTATACTCCCGGTAATACAATTTTATCAGAAAATAAAATAAATTCAAGAAATGCACTACAGTACTATGTTATTGAATATGTTGAGTATCTCAAAAGATAGCTTCAAGTGATGAGTATAGGATAAGGAATAGACGATTATAAGTGCACCTCATAAAGAGATAATAAATAATCATTGAATATTATGTTAATTACAAATAATGAAAATTTCTAAATAGGTTGTGCGATGGTGGTACAAATCAGATAAGATAAACATTTTTAGAATCCACTTTTCTGGAATAAAAATTTTCATTGGATGTATAATATAAGGTTATGTTATTCATTGCCTTTATTGGAACATAATGAAACTATAGGTACCTTGCCTTGTCTTTTCTTGTCACTGTTTACACATTATAAGTGAATGTCATCCAAAGATTTGTTGCTTTATGACATGATACTATTACAGTTACTTGCTATTTTGTTGCAGTGTCTGATGTAAACAAAGGAAATAGTTCAGTTGTGGCATAAATACATGTATGACAGACATTTTTCAAATGAGGAAGACATTCGTAAGCATCTGTAACATTGTATTTTCCGGATGGATGATTTTATTGTTTTCGCTGGTAGATGTACATTACTGTAAAATACTTCAATGGAATTAATTTTCACTATTTTCGCTGGCGGAAAGATTCAGTGAAAATAAAATCCAGTGAATATGCATTTTTTCCTATATTTTACATTCAACTTGTCAAACATCCGTGAAAATAAATTCCATAGAAAACACTTGAAGTCTGTTCAGCGAAAATTAATTCCAGCTAAAATAAAGTATTCTACAGTAATAATTGTTTATGAACATTGTCAATATTCCCCACTCTTATCGTGAGATAGTTAATTTCTTTTTCGCTATCTCAGACTTACTACACATGTATTTCCATTTTACTTGATAGTGGTGACAGTCGTAAATACAGAAGTCGTGGAGTTACACGTACATCAGAGGATCCATATACACCATACGATGATCAAGCATTGGATTCTGCACCAAGTGATTCTGTCGTCACGGCAACTGATAGGCAGCTCAAGAGGCTTTTGGATAAACAAATGGACACCAATGTTTCTATAGAAGGGTAGGTAATCTATTTGCTTCTGCAAAAATGTTATTCACTTCACAGTCAGCTGGCGCACACGTGATAATAAAATAAATATGATATTTACTACATGGGGGCCGCCATCTTGTATGACACATAAAACTAAATAAGAGACAAGTTGTGAAACGCGTTTTTCAGATTCCTACAAATCAGGACAAAAATACCAATCTTTCACAAAAATACGGTCCATTGGGGTTATATTAAGCCAACCGATAACAAAATTCAGCCTAATTCGTCTTTTTTGTGTGGAAAAATCCCTTGCATACAAACACCTAATTCCGCGAAGAACCTGGAACACTAAGCCGGGGTATTTGAAACTAAAAATTTGCATTCCAGCTCAGCGGTATTTTGGTATTTTTGTCCTGATTTGTAGGAATCTGAAAAACGCGTTTCACAACTTGTCTCTTATTTAGTTTTATGCGTCATTCAAGATGGCGGCCCCCATGTAGTAAATATCGTATTTATTTTATTATCACGTGTGCGCCAGCTGACTGTGATTCACTTCACCTGCAAGATATCAGTTTTAATAATTACTTTGGATGCTATATTTAACTCTTTATTAATGCATTTCAAACTTATTCTGTAAAATGTATATGTGATTGCTCTACAATTAAGAAATATTAGTGAAAAATCTCATCTCATAAACAACTGCAGCTGCAAAAGTTGTTGGGAATAATTCTCATATTCACTTAATATATAATTACATGTACCTAAAGTTGCACTGTGAAAGCATAATTTGTAGAGCTTTATTATGTGATATCAATTATGTAACATATTTTGATATATTTGGAATTTGCGTGCATTTCCTGAATAAACAAGGATTTGCCAGAATTGGAATTATTTCTATTTATTTCTAAGTAGTTAAGAACAAAATCAATTCTGTGAATCCACATGTTTTGCAACTTGTTTCAAAGGTGTTGGCAGATGAAATTTGAACAAGCAATTTGGAAGCTGAAGCATTTGGACACTCTGGTAGGCATTGAAATTTGAAAGTTTAATGTATATTTTTTTTCCCTCAATACGCACATATTCACACTGTCAAATAATGTCAAATTCCAAGACCCCAATAAAGCTCTATAAATGTTGTATGTGAAAATGTAAAGAGACATGATGTATTATTGCCCTTCTGTTTTCTGGTTCGTCTGTACTTACATGTGCTTGTGAGCACTAAGCATTAAAAATGCAATATGTGGCTGTATGTGTTAAACAGATGGCTTACTGTCTGTACTAGCACTTTATCGTCACACATAAAACCCTCACATACACATACAGATAATTTGGTTTTGTCAAATTTTGTATCAAGTAGTTTGCCGGAACACCAGGCTTTCAGTAACCTTTCTAAAAAACTGATTGCTATGTATTTTTGTGAGCATTATTTACATTCAAAATTATAACATACATCTGTGACGCTTTGAGTGCATTGCTGGCAATTAGCTGTTCTGATAATCAGCAGAATATTTACCTTATAGTGATATCTCTTTGAAAATAATCTTTCAGTCATTGTTTCTTTATTTTGAAAGCAATTAATTTGAAAAGTTATTCGGTCTGATTTTATCACATCTCTTTGATAACGGTACTGTCGCATCATTTGTAAGTCTCTGTTCGTATGAATTATGGAAACTGAGATTTAAATATAGATTGCGTAATGTGTATGTTTTCATTGTGTGTGAATTCTCTTTTATTTTGGACAAACTTGCATCAATCACATTCTATCTACACACTTGTATATCAAGTATACGGTATGCAGTTATTTTAGGATCTGATTGAGATGTTGAATTGACTGGCAGGCATTTATGTTTTAAAAAATGCATAACAATTTATCATTTCTACCATTTCAACTCAATAATACAAATTGATCTCAGGCATGCAATTATTGATTTCCATTAAATGGCCAACATTTGTTTTACAAAATGCTGCATCATTATATCTGACATGCCTGGACTGCAGATGGTTTTGAAAAAGATTAGTCATAAAAATGGGATGAAATTTATCTGTCGGCATTGAGTTATGTTCCTGTCTTCATGCAGTGCACGTAAAATTCACAGGATCCTTGTGGAAATGAGCAGCACAGATTACCACAGCACAGCTAGATCTTTCTCTCGGGAGAATGGTGTTGCCATAACAGAATACTCTACAAAATGCATACTATATGTATAACATGTGATTGCTTGAATGTATATTTGTATAATCATGTAAATTTGTATATGGTCGTCAACATCAATAACAGAAAGAGCTTCTATCTTACTTTCAACTACGATCATGCTATCTGCAGAATTCATTTATCTAGTTATCTCCAACATTTAATGCTAATGGTCTTTTATTAATCTTTTGTTGTATCTTAATTGATACATTTAGTGTATATGTAGCGCTATTACAAAGCGAGATTCATATTACGATATGATGACACTTTGAGTTAAAGTTGATCATAACAGTGTCATCAAAGTAGTTGGAGATTTATAATACTTAGTGAAGAGATTACTTGTTTTACAAGGTCATACATATATGCTAACAACAAAATTGGGGTCACAGACCACATTTTTTCAGATAAATGTGTTATTACTTTATGCTGATTATAGAGGTGACACAAGGGGGGACTCTACAGTGAAAAAGTATAAACAAGACATACACAATAAATTATGATGTTTTCTTTCTTTTTTGAGACCTGATATAATGAATGATTATTGTGTCCCAAAACAATTATAAATGGTGGTTAAAGATCATTTTACTAATACATGAACATTGAAAATGTTCACTAGAACCACCCATGAAATTGTATGGATCAACCTTATGTGTAGTAATTCACATTATAACCAAAGTACTTCATACAGTACATATTAAGGAAACAAACTACCCATCAGCAGTGAGCAGCAGTGATGATGTTGTTGTCGTCACTGCTAACTTTATGTCGTGATTCCAAATAATCTATGAGTCTTCATATCTGTGAACAGATGCTATTTGGATGTGACTCGTGTATATTATTGTTGAGTTATACACAATTGGGAGTCTTTACAATTACCCTGTATGCATTTATGTGTGTGTATATATTTTCCCTGGATATCTTGATATATAGATGCTCTAAGACATTGGACAGACCTGATCAATTTATGGTTAAAATCTGTTCATATTAATTAGTACCTAATTTGCGTTACTCATAACGTTTAAAATTTTTGCATGATTATCTCAATAGTATTAATTATCACATTTCGATGTAGAATATCTGTGATGCTGCACAGACATGATTAGTTTTATTATAAAATGTGCATATTAATTACCTTTTTTGCATACTAATTAATGTGTTTTTAGTTTCCATTGTTATCTCAAGTACTAATCATCTTATTTCAATGCTATAAGACAATTTAACAACTTAATTAGATTTGGGTTAAAATATATACATAATACTTACCCAATTTGCATAATAATTGCCGTTCATTTTTAGCTCTGCTGTCGAATTTGTCGAGCGAAGCTTATTATATGAGTGATTGTCTGTCGTCCATGTCAATGTTTTACTTTTTCGACTTCTTCTTCAAAACTGCAAGCCTGAATGATTTGATACTTGGTGTATATGTTCCTTGGGTAGACCTCTCTTAGATTTGTTCATTTCATGATAATATCTTCAATTCTCTAATTTTTGTGAATGTATTTGTAATTTTTGGTAAAAAGTGATATTTTCGACTTCTTGTTAAAAACCGCGAGTCCAATTGCTTTGATAGTATACATATTGCTCATTTCGTAATTTATCATCACATTCTTATGAAACTTGGTACAATTATAACATAGGTTCTTAGGGACAATGCACATACCTGGTTAGTTTTGTGTTGGGTTCAGTGTATATTAATTATCTAATTTGAATAAGTATCCAATTTTTTCATCTATATCTCAAAAAATAATTATTTGATCTCAATAATATTTTATATACAAGTTGGGACAAGTTTTGGATTAGTATCGAATTGTAAAATCGAGCATACTGATTACCAAATTTGCATAATATTCATAATAGTCACATTTTATTGTTATTTTATTAGATGCTCTAGGGTAATCCACAGATGTGATTAGTTTAATGTTTAAAACCATGCATATTGATTGTCTAATTTTTATTAGCTAATATCTGATATCTCAAAAAATCTTATTGAAATTGGACTTATAAACCATTATTAGTCACCAAAATTCTAGTTTTAAAGGATAAGTGATTTCAAATATGCCTCCATTACTCTCAGGATACTTTTCTTTCTAAGACTTCTTTGATTGTTTTTTAGCATGTCCATAATAAAGTGAAGGGAAAGTCATGATAGTAGTTGCAGAAAAGTCTGTTGTCTGCCATCAACATCATCATAAACTTTTCTTGTGAGCACAATAACTCCAATAATATTGGGCCAATTGTTATCAAACTTATATATATGTATAATCCGTAAATATAAGTTTACCTGAAAGTGTGTAAATTTGAGTTGATCTTTTTCTTAAAGTATATCTAGTGTCATTGGGTAGCATTTTTCAATTAATTTTTGAACCAAATAGACAAAATTTCACATTGCCAACATGTCTTGATCAAAATTGAATAATTATGTTCAAACTTTATATATACATCATACATTGTGCATGTGTGTATTCGTTTGACATTCAGATTCAAGATGGCTGAATGGTGGCCATTTTGATGTTAAAAATTGGATGGGTTTAATTTGGTGAATGGTGACAAAAGTTCACTTTGGTTCTCAAAACATGGTCATTTAAAGGAAGTTTACAATTTGGGCTATGAAATTGTTACAGGCAATTAGCACAAAAGAAGCAGTTTACTGAAAGTTTAACATTCAAGCCATTTATAGAAAGGGCTGCTGGGCAGCTCAGTCTGGACGAATTCGCTAAGCTGCAGGAGGAAGAAGATGAGTTGGAAGAATTGAGACAATGTGGTCTGTCAGAAGAGGAAATACACCTTTATTTGCACCATGAAGGGAAGCATTTCACTGGGATGGTAAGTTCACATTAATGTTTGTTTTCATCATGAGATAGAATAGTAGGTGTAGTGCTTAATTGTTGCATTGGACTCATGATTTAAATCCTACCTGGTTAAGATCCTCAAGTACTTTTGCTTGACTGGGCCATGCTGATGCTGGGATAGCACATTGAAAATGCCATCATGTCATCATGGTAGAAAGACCATAGTTTTGATAACTTCAATTTTCTCATAATCTTGTGATCTTGAAAATGGCTAGACTGATTAATAATATATTTCTTTCTCATTATACATCTCAAACAACAGAGCTATCCTCGGGGGCGGAGCTACGTCACAAGACGTTCCACGTTGCTAAGACGCGCACCACTGTACCATGCATTTCTATGGGCTCTGTGCGTGCTGCTGTGGAACGCCAGTCGAGCCGGTGAAAATTCGAGAAAACAATACAAACTCAACTTTGAAGTAATCCCGAACAATCAAATTTATATATGTTACACACATAGGGCTAATCTTGTTGCACTGTTCAGAGGAGTCTCAACAATCACCCCAAAGTACCGTTTTCTGCGAGTTTTGGGCCTTTGTTTTCACCGCCGCGGGTTGCCAGGCGGTGAAAATGCCCGGATGTCCGCCCCCGAGGATATCAGCTGACAAGCTATTTGTTTTTAAAACCCATATTTAAAAATCATTTTCAACAAAAAGTAGGCTGATGTACACCATGAAGGTTTTTAAATTTTTTGAATTCAAGTATATTCATGAAGACAAATTTCAAAACAGACATTTTGCCTTCTTGGGTTTATACACTCATAGTGAAAGTTAAAATTGTTCCTTGATTCACTTAATTTGCAAAAATATGTCCCTCACATAATTTTACAGTTTTTTTTGTTTGATTTGTGAGTCAGATTTGATTACTCACAATCACTTTATTGGAATCAGTGGTACAGATGGTCTGAACTGCATGTTTACATTTAACTTCACACACACATCATAAATCATGTCAAACATATGTACACGTACCTACAATTATTGAACAATCCAATTCTAGATGGCTGAATGGTGGCTGTTAAATATTGGAAATATCAAAATCAACCATTTCTGCCATCCCAGTACTGGATGTCAGTTGTGTGTGAAGAGTTTGTCAAACTTTGTATAAACATTGAATGTAATAAGACCATATTTGATGCACATCATTTTGTTTTTCAGATTTGATTCAAAAAGGCCAACTGGTGGCCATTTTGTTTTAACAATCAAATGCAGCTCTAGAGCCATATATCGGACCTGCCTTGTCTGATCATGTTCAAATTTATGCATCATACATAATGTCACATATATGCAAATGGATTTATCTGACAATTCAAGATAGCTGAATGGCAACCATTTATAATGTTCAAATTCGAATCACGGTCATGTATGGATACAAACATTGAACTACTATATCACAATGCACATTTGTTTGTTTTTATGCAGATTTAGTTTAAACTTGGATATGTACATTCAGCTTTATGGGACTTTAATGTATATAATTTTGTTTGTCAGATCGGACAAAAAATGGACATCTGGTGGTCATTTTGTTGATGAAATCTCTGACTGTGTGTGTTCAGACTTTATGTATTTCTCAGGGATTAGGTATTTCAATTACTTGTGTTTTACTGATTCTTATTCAAAATGGCTGATTGGTGGCCACTATGTTTCAATGAATACTGTTCCTGAGCCATATATATATATATATATATATATATATATATATATATATATCTAACATGCCTAGACAGATAACAGTATACATCATGCCACACATAATAACCTGCATTCATTTCAAGTTCCGATTCAAAATGGCTGACTTGTTTTGAGTTTTCTTTACAACTGATAGGGGCTTCACTGACTTATTTTATAATCTAATCAAATGACCCCTAAACAGGCTTTTACCAATATAATAAGATTACCCTGAGTAAGAATATTTTCTAATTTTATGTTTCATTTATCACTTTTTCATTCTCCACCCAAGTGGTTAATAATTCCTTTATGAACTCGTTTCATGCATGCGTGGGCACATTCCATTATACTGTATTTGTTCTATTAGAAGCCTTTCCCTATGAAAGGTGCGTGTGAGACAAAATCTTATTATATATATTTTTTCTTTGAAGTTCATCAATAATACACTTACATGTCAGTGTTTTTATATGTCATATGTACATACAGTGTAATATATAGAAGAGAACCACACATAAGACCCCTTAGCATGTCATACTCCAGTCATCATAGTATGGCCATTTGTGCTAGGGGGTATTGTAATAGTGAAAAAGTTATGGGTGTCTTTCTTGATGTAATTGAGCTTATTATAGCTCCTTTCCTGAATTATATTATGATGTAGAATTTTCACTTATACAAGGTAATGGTGTCTCTATGAAGTGGCAGCCACATTTTATGTTATTTATGTGAGGCACCATCCTAATATTCAAGTTAATGCAGTCTCTTTGAGTGGCAGGTAGATTTTGCATTATGCAACAAATTGGCTATTAATAGTGCAAAATCTCATGTGATGAAATCCGGGTTAAAAATCATAGCAGGGTTAATCATTAAGTGCATTATATATTGTATAACGTTGCATTCAAAAGTAATTATTACATGCTAACTTAGCTATTCTTTAAAAAAGGTGCAATTAATGTTGTCTTGACACTTTGTGGCTGCTCATCCATTAGAATAGGTCATATAATGTAATATTACTATTGTGCACTATTGGTTTATTACCGGACCTTTTTGTGAGTGTAAAACTCAATTAGTATTTTACGTTTCTCGTACAATGTAAATATACCCATCATCTATCAGTACACTAACTGGATTTGAAAGCTATGCTTTCAGTGATATTCAATATCTATCAGGATCCCTGAAGGTTTACCAGTGTTTTCATATATTTCACTTTGTAGGCTAATCACGCTCACTGTATATGCTATGTTACTATTATATGCACTCACATAAATGCCATGGGTGTGTCTTTGGTCAAAATTATGATATATTTTTAGTCCCCCAAAACAGGGACTTATGTGTTGACCTCCGTGTGTCTGTGCATGCGTGCGTGCGTCTGTGCGTGCGTCCGGACCTGTATCTTAGAAATGCCTGGACCAATCACAATCAAACTTCACACAAACATCATACATGATATTATACATATGGACGTCAATTTGTTTCACGATCTGATTCAAGATGGCCAAATGGTGGCCATTTTTGTGCTAAAAATCATCAAAATCAAGCATTTTTTGACCGTGTATGGATGGATTATTTTCAAAATTGGTATATATGTTAGACATTCTAGGACCTTGATGCACATTATTTTGATTCACAATCTGATTCAAGATGGCCGAATGGCAGCCATTTTTGTCCTAAAAAATCATAAAAATCAATCATTTCTCGGCTGTTTACAGATGGATTTTTTTCAA